ATTGGACCTCTGAAAACCTCACTGATGTAACGCTCCACTAAATATTCTATGGGGTTTAATTTCCCATCATCTGGTACATCTGAGACCTACTAGCGTATCCAAAGTACTTCCCACTTCCTGTTTAACAGGTCCAATTAGTATGATGTCATCAATATAGTGGACAAGCATGATGTCATACAAAATATCAAGATGATCGAATCTCTGCAGACTATACTGAAGCAGAGAGCAGTAGAGTTCACATGGCACTGAGGCCCTTGAGACACCGTCAGTATGAGGTGCGTCTGAGCTTACATGGAACTGTCCATTATATTTGTGGCCAAAGACAGAGTGGGCTGATGGTATGTGACGGGGCATTAGAGGTGTTAGCTACAGGCAGCCTCTTGTGTCACTCAGATCCTCTCATGCCACACTTTAAGCCCAATTTTTCAGTTCCTTTCAACCTGCACAAAAGGTTTAATGCAAAAAATTAGGAGAATAAGTTTCTGGTGCAATTGAACCTGAGATTGCAATTGCTATTCATCCTTTTCCTCCTCCGCCACTCCATTCTAGATTGTCCTCACCTTCAACAATAATTTTAATTGGTCTAGGTTGCTTGCTCGGTAGGCTGACCGTGACTTTCAGACTTGAGGAGTCTGAGCCTTTAGTTGCCTTGCTCTAGTCAAGATGTGGCTGCTGCAATTGCCCGGTCACCATTTTCACTGAGTATGTCAGCACCAAGAGACGCCCCAGAGAATTGCCTGAGTTCCAGACATATTCCTCTCTGTCTTCATCACATAGCAACACGGTAGCTTGTCGTGATAATTAGGGTCAATTACCCCTACCAACAGAGTAACTCATTTCTTTGCCTGCTGGTCCATCAGGATAAAGAGTTCAGAGTGACCAGATGGTAGTCACAGCTTCAAGTTCAGTGGAACCCTACTGCTCCCGGAGGGAGAGTCCACCTCCTGGATAATAATGTAGTGGAACCTAAGTTTACAGGGACTGGAAGCACAAATTCTTCACATGGGGTTCTGGGAGTGCTGATGAGAGTGGCGATTCCCACTTCCACCCAGTACGTTCTGGTTGTTTGGATATAGTGCCATATAAGGGCCATTGGTTCAGCGCTTATTCCATATCCTGGTGGACAGAGCCCCAACCCTGCAGGGTGATGTCCCAAATTTGGTGCCTTAGATGAAGGTAATTCCAATATTCTGTCTGGCCAGCTGTTACAGGGTGATACGATCTGTATTAGGAATAGAGGTTCCTGCAGTCCTAACCCGTTGTCACACCTCTTTTGCTGTAACATATGGTCCTCACTCTGAAGCAATGTTATGCAAGGTCTTTCGGGCATCTGGTAAACCTTCATAATGTAGAGCTGGCCAGGGAGCCATGAACATAGAAAAAACTCTATATCCAGAGTAGGTGTTGATTCTGTTGAGGAAGAATTTCTTCCCCTCCTGATTGGAAGAGATCTGATATAATAAACTGACCAAGTGAGTGGTTGGACTTCTCGAAGAACAGTACCGCACTGAGGGCTCCCGTGGAAGGTGCCATCTCTTCTGCTGACAGGTCGGCATTCGGCAGCACCACTGCTGAGATAGGTCTCAGTGAGAGGAAGCCCTTGCAGCACAGCCTCCATCTCTGCCACCATTGCTGTTCTGGTCACGGTCCCATTGTGCAAGTGCTAGGGTGGCTGAGGACAGAGGCTGGCTGACTTCTGCTGGATGAGTCATCTTGTCCACCAGGTTGTCAAGTACTTCATTAAGGCGGGGGGCTCTCGGGTGGGCTCTGGTGAGACATAAACCTCGGCTTACTTTCTGCCCACTCTCTCACATTCACATGCCTCTTCCCCAGACCTCCTTATTGCTAGTCCTCCAGTCTTGCTCCTTTCTTCTCCCTCACCGAACAGCCAACCATTCACCGCTGCCCAGGAATCAGGTACATCCTTAGCTCACCCCTTGCCCCTTCCCCTAAGTCAGATGACCATGTGTATTGCTCACAGCTCTGCCTACTGTGAGGATTTCACCTCACCACTGTCCCTTAGGGACAATCCTGAGTGTGGAAGCGATCTATTATCAGCCTGCACCAAAGTATCAAGTGATTCTATTTGTGAAGCAAGCCAAGTTTTGTCCTCTTCTGTAAGCCAATCTTAGGAAATCTCTCTTGAAGGCATAGGTCTGTGTTGAAGGAGAGGTGTTAGTGCGACAGAGCTAGGTAACGTGTGTCTGGGTCACCTACTCAGGTAACTTATTTGTGCTTTCTGCGTATGATCTTGCACTTACATTTTCCGTTGTCTGATGAATTGCTCCCGGGCCCACCAGACTCTAAGACTCGGTGGATCTTCTAATATCCCATCCAGAGAGGGCAGTTATGGCCACACAGTCACGTAATGTTGTAGGGCCAGGTGCTCAGACTCTGCTAGGATCCAGCGGCATGCCAGGAGCTCTTTCTCAAATTGCAAGCGTCTTTCTGCTCCAGATGTCATGACCTCGCTCTAGAACCCTAGGAGCTCTGTCCTGTGACTCCCCTATTAGGCTTGCCAGAGATTTCGCATAGCATCTTTGTCTACTACAGATATTTCTAGTACCATTGGATCCACTGTGGAAGGGCAGCTTGCCCTGCAGCTCTGGGCCCTACTCATGGTGAAGGGACAATGTACAATAACTTGTCTTTTATCTTACAGGGAATGTCCCCACATACTCTAGAACACTGGACCCCTAAAAACGTTATCAATGTATAGGACCCAGAATTTATTTAGGGTTTATGTCCTGCCCTCTGGCACACACGTGACTGAATCGTGCATCCAGAGTACTTGCCACTTCCTGTTCAACACATCCAATTAGCATAATTTATAAAAACAGTGGTCTCGCACACTACTCAGCTGACTTCAAGGCCTTTGTGGAGTACATTGTCACAAAGAGGGGAGAACTGAAATAGTCCTGGGGACAGTAAATGTGTTCTGCTGTCTCTTCCATGTAAATGCAAATAATTTGATCCTCTTTACTGATGGGGATTGAAAAGAATGTATTTGCCAAATCAATCGCTGAAATGCAGTGCGAGAGGCCAGGCTGATCCGTTCTGGTAAAGGTAATACACCTGGCGCAGAAGCAGTGATCTGGGCTCCCACTTGGGTAAGGGGACAGTAGTCCACCGTCATCGGGCTTGATCATCGGGATATTTCAGGGACCATATGGATGAACTGGACAGGGAGACATCTCAAGGTGCTGGAAAAGCAAAAAAGTGCCCAATGTTTAACAGAGGACATGTCAAAAGGACAAGCAGTCTACTTAAAGGAGGCTCTTACTGGTAAACTATGGGACTCTTTTAGCCTTAAAGGAATCATAACTGTAATTAATTGTAAACCATTTGACAAATAAAATCCATGAGTTGATAGTTATGCTGAAGAAAAGTGAAAAAGAAAAAAGAGAATGTTCATCTTTATAAAAGAATGCCAGCTAGTGAGTGCAGAAGTAATGCAAGAATTAGAAAATCATCATTTTTCAACTTTCAATAAAATAATTGCTTCCTGCAAGGATCACGCATGGATCAGGTCTCTGCAACAGGGTGCTACATAGCAAACAAGCCCCACGTTCAACAGCAACAAGCATTTATTTCTCATTCACAAGTCTGCAGTTCTCATGGATGCTTGGTTGCTGGGCTCATCTCCAGGCTGTGGGTTGGGTTCAGTTTTGCTCCACGGGTCCCTTTCTTCTCCTTGACCCAGCCTCTACCGGGGCAGGTACTTTTCACAGCAGATGGCAGCAAGGTGAGCCAAATTACACAAGCGTATTAAATGCCTCTGCCTGTGTCATGTCTGCTAATGTCACATTGGCTAATGCAAGTCACGTGGCCAAGCCCAGAAATATACAAGGAAATGCATTTCCTCTGCTCTAGTGGGAGGTACCATAAAGTCACGTAGGAAAAGGTCTGGATGTGTAGTTTTAAAACTGGGAATGAGTAAAGAATTGAGAATGATGATATACCAAAGATGTGAAGAATGCTGAAACCATTAGGTGAAGTTGTTGAGGAATGGAATATCTGCAAGATGCAAAAAAGTGTTAGCACACCAATACTTGCTAATTTCAAAAAGAAAAAATGTACCTTTACCAATGAGGAATATAGCAGTCATCACCTTAGCCAAGGTGGCAGTCAAATCAGCGTCACTGAAGGCGAGACAAGGTGAGAGAATGTGCCTCCTGACGGGATGCAACAGGAGCTCCACAACATCCACCTCTAAAGTACTTTCGCCAAAAAGAAGTAACCTGAAACTAACCAGGCCCTAGACCTGCCTTCTGTACAGGAAATATAGGGGAAAGAGGACCCAGCTACATGAGAACAGGAGAGAAAACAAATTGGTCTAATCCAGAATGAAACCTTCTACAATTCAACCCACACAGTTTCTTCAAAGGTCTATTTCATTTAAAAAAAAGATGAGGGTTTTGTTCTAGATTAAAAGATGCAATGCATGAACCTTAATTGGATCTTGGTTTGAAAAAAAACCCACAGCTATAAAATACATTTTTAGGACAACTGGGAAAATATAAATATGGACTGACTATTAGATATTAGGAAATGATTGTTAATTTTCTTAGACTTAATAGTGAATTTGTATGAAAACGTCATGTTTAGAAGGTGCGCGCTACGATACTTGGGCCGCAGTGTCATAACGTCCACAATGTCAAGTACTCCAGCAAATAGACAAAGCATGTTGTTGAGTCTAGGTAGTGGTATATGGATCCTTGTTGTACTATTCTATTGACGTGTGTATGTTTGAAAATATTCATAATAAAAAGTTGGAAAAATTCAAAAAGATACATGAACAAGTTATTTGTTAACAGTTGGAAATATTATATCCTTCCGCTCCCTCTTGAACTCATATTTATATTCCACTTTCCACTTGGAATTTAGCCGAATGTGACTTTTTTAATGTCTTGTATTGACTACCTTATGATATTTTTGTTATATATATATTTTTTCCCCATGACTATAAAGCTCTAAAATTTTAATAATTTCTGAATTGCGCCTGGATGAAACAAGAGCTGCCACCGTCGGCGTTTCTGACCACACTCATCACTCTACCCTTCCGGAGCCCCCATCCTGGGAGCCAGGCAAGTTTGGGCAGGGCGGAGGGAAGCTTCTGTCAGCACCCTCTCCAGCCGCCCCTCCCCCGCCCACTACCGCCATCTTGGAATTTAACAGCTCAACACAGGTCAAAATACCGGCTTCTGACACTGACCTTTTCCCTTAACGGAAATATGTGTGGGTTAACCCGGGCTGAGATCTGAGGATGACCAGATGGAAGCTCCATCTGAATCACGTGGGTGAGTTGTGCCTGAGTTTGGTGTCCTCAAGTTTTGTCACCGGGTGGCTGGTGACAGCGAGTTTGGGAGGCACCACAGAAGGAAAATGCAGTGTGAGGAGTGCTTTCCTTGCCAAGAAGGAAATGGGCAAGTGTGAGAGGGAAAATTGAAAGGAAGCAGTGCCGCATCTCACACACACACACACACACACACACACACACACACACACATACTCAAACCAGCTCCTGCATCCCTGACCAGCCCTGCAACTCTGTGGTTGGAATGGACTGTGGGCCCAGGGAGACCTCAGGGGTCGCCCAAATCAGGGGGACCGAGCCTGGGCCAGGGCCACCAAGGGAGTCCCTTCCCGCCTTGAATCCTTCCGGATCTTGTCCTAATTTCTACAGGGTTCTAGAACTAAGCCCAAGGTTGGGAGCATTAGGGACCAAACGAGGTCCCTCCGCACTGGGAGGAGGTCAGAGGATACCCTTGGCCACAAGGAATGGATGTCTCGTTGGGAGAAGAAGAGACCCCAGGGTCCTAAACTAAGATCTGGGTGCGGCGACGGGCAGGGACTCTAGGCTCTGGTCCAGGCCGGGCGGGCAGCGCTGCGGGAGGGGCCCCGAGGGAGCAGGGAGGGGTCACCGCGCGCGGACACTGTTTTCCCCTCGGACCCTCTCCCACCGCAGCTTCTCTCCCCACCCCAGCGGGCACATCTCCCTTCTGCGTCCCCAGGATCGTCTTTCGCGACACCCTTCTCCGCAGTCCTCGGTCCTCACGGGGTGGTCCCGAGCCCGGGACAAGGACTGGGCGTGAGGACTCTCGGACAGAACGGACCCCGGGACCCCGAGCCCCTGGGGACCAGGCCGGGAGGACGCGTCCAAGGTGAAGCTGGGTCCCGGCAAGGGTGGGCTCCGACCTGCCTGCGGAGCCTCAGAGTCCGTCCCTCCCTCGTCCCCAACCCGGGCGCCTTCCCTTCCTCCCGACCGTCGCTACAGCCCGTGCCCCGCGTTTCCTTCGCCGCCGCCGGCATGGAGGCGCCCCTGCCACGTCCCCACGCGTCCCCCCGACACGCTGCCTCCCCCGCGTGACTCGCGAGTCCCGGGCGCGGCTCCGATGGGAGGGCCCGAGGGAGCTCCGGTGGGGTGCCGGGGACCGCAGCGTGCGGCGTGGGCGCCAGTCGGTGGCGACTGGTCCCCGCGCTGGTCGCGCCCAGGTCCCTGGGCGCCGAGCCCCGGGCTGCTGTGCACGCTGTCCCTGCGCCCGCCCACGGCCCGGTGCTCTGCAGCAGGAAGCCGGTGACCAAGGTGGCCTTAACGCTTCCCTCAACTTGACAGCGGAGACACGCTTCTTTCAGGCTCCAGGCCCACGACCTCCGTTTTCTTAGAGCATTTACTTTAGAAAACTTATTGTAAATTCCTTCTCTGCCCCTTTGAAATGCAAATCTTTTTAGAAAGCCTCTTGCCAGGTTTTCCATCCAGGACCGTTTTTTTCAAGGACCTGGAAGGCAGCCCTTCGAGCGGTAACCATCAGACGGGGCGTGGCCGAGTGGTAGGTTCACTCGCGCTGCTCTGGCGGCCCAGAGTTTCCCTGGTTCGGATCCTGGGCGTGGACATGGCACCGCTCGTCAGGCCATGCTGAGGCGGCATCCCACATAGCTCACCTAGAGGCACTCACAACTGGAATGTACAACTATGTACTGGGGGGCTTTGGGGAAGAGAAGAAGAAGAAAAAGAAGGAGGAGGGGCAGGGGGTGGAGGAGAAAAAAAGATTGGAAACGGATATTAGCTCAGATGCCAATCTTTAAAAAAAAAAGACAGTTAATCACCAGGGAAGACAAGGCCCACCTCAGCGTCCGTGCTGGGAGGGGCTGGCCTCCAAGGGCCTCTGCTTTGCTCCCATGGCAAAACCACCTCCTGTCATAAAGGTGTGAGGCCTTGAATTTTCCTTTGGATCAAGTTAACTGGCACCCCACATCCCACATTCTCATTAGTTTTCCGCTAGCTCACCCTAGCCCTCAAAAACCCTGCAGCTCTTTGTCTCAGTGGAGTTGAGTTCTGAGGGAGTCCTGGCCTCCCTCCCCTATGGGAATAGTCCTGAAAAAACTCTTCCTTGCCTCTTTAACTTTGTGGGGTGCCATTTATGCTTTGACAACAGGGTCTCCTGGAGGCCACTGGTGCAAGTGTGAGTGGGTGCTGGGGGCCAAGGCAGACTGGACACTGAGTGGGGGCAGTCATGCTGGGCCCTGGAGATCAGAACTACAGGCAAGGCCTAGCAGATAAGAGCCTGAGACCAAGTCCTTCATGCTTGTATTTCTTTAGGAAGGTGCCCCCAGGGTGCAGGGGTGAGGGGCTGGGGGAGAGATGAGGAAGGAGGGAAGCAACACGAGGACTCATGATGAATGAGCTGGCTGCACTGGGATGTGGGGAAGTGGAAGCTTTGGGAGAGGCCGTCTGTCAGACACTGGGACAGAGAGGAGGGGAGGGTCATGATAGGAATCATGAAACTGGCTGGCTGCTGTCAACTGCTTTGGAAGCTGAGAGAGAGAGAGGGAGAATATGCAGGTGGAAAACTATCAGGTCTGGTTGCTCTGATAGTCAGAGGACCTCTGGGCAGGTCCTCATCTTGATACCGGCCCTGATATCAGTTCCCCCACATTAAACCCAGCATGTATGGGTTAAAACCAAAGCACTCATTCCCCGCTTACTCCCCAGCTTCCTGGCTCCAGAATCCACTGTCCTCCATGGAGACAAATGGCCAAGGATAACTACCTGGATTCGTTATCTCCTCCTTGAAAGGAGATACAGGCTGGTGGGAAAGCTGCTGACCAGCAAGGTCTCAGGCTCCCTCCTCTCTGCAAGTAGTCTCAAGGCCAAAGACAGGCTGGTGGGAAAGCTCCAACCAGCAAGGCCATAGGCTCCCCCTCCCCTACAGACAACCCCAAATAAAAACCCTTCCTTTTAGCTTTTCAGGGAGTTTGGGATTTCAGCATTAGCTGCCCTTTCTCCTTGCTCAGTGCTGTGCAATAATAAAATTCCTACTTTCTTCCACTACCCCTGGTGTCAGAGATTGGCTTGCTGCGCAGCAGGTGAGCAAACTCACTTCAGGTTCGATATCAACCTTCTGCACCAACCATGCTGGGAACCAGGCCAGGATCGAATTTTAAGGGGGGCAGAGCTGAAAATGTGACAATGCACAGTCTGGACAGGCCTCCTACATCAAAGATGGGGCTCTGATAGGAACGGAAGGACTCTTAGACCTGGGGTGGCGATGTTTGGACAGACGAGCCTGAGACTTTTCAGCCCCTAGAGTCCCCTGGGACCGCCCAGCTTGCAGAGCAGCTCCCTCCCCTCTCCTTTCCCACAGGGGCTACAGGGGCTTCACCTGAGGCAGGGGCCTCGAAAGATGCTGCTGGTCTCCCTCCAGGTCTGTCCCTGCCATGTCCCATCACCTCCAGGATGGTAAACAGGGTCAGCTTTGAGTCTAGCCCGGCAGGGAAATACAGTCTCTGCTCTGGGAAGAAAGTGCTTCCTCACGCAAGGGCACTTGGCTAAACAATGCTGCCTGAACCTGAACTGGAGGAAGTGGCACTGGGAACTGAGGGCATTGAAACCGGCAGGGGGCCGGCTGGGGGCTGGCTATAGAATGGATAGAAATGAACGAGTGCAGATTTGTCTATTTCTCTCTGTGATTCCGTTTTTGCTTCATGCATATTGAAACTCTCTTACAGGTGCATAAACATTTAGGATTGTTATCTTCTCTTAATTAATAGACCCCTTCGCTCTTTTTATCTCTGATGTATTCCTTTCTCTGAAATCTATTTTGTCTGATATTATTAAAGCCACATTAGCTTTCTTTCGATTTGACATAGCATATCTTTTTCCATCCTGTTCCTTTTAACCCGCTGTGTCTTTATATTTAAAGAGGGTTTCTTGTAGGTAGCATATACTTGAGTCTTGCTTTTTTTACTCCCTCTTGACAATTTCTGCCTTTTAATAGGGAAGTCTAGACCATTTGCATTTTTTGTAGATATGGATGATGTAAGTAGGTAAAGAAGATGTCCTTATCTACTAATTCTTTTATCTTTGTTGTTTATGGGTCCACTTTGGTTGATTGCTTTTTCTCCTCATTAGGGGTTCTATTTTCATACTTCTGCATGCTTGATACTTTTTGATGGGAAATAAGATAATGTGAAGTTTACCTTTTTGGTACTGGATATTCTTGTATTCTAGAAATATTCTTGGGGTTTGTTCTGGGATGCTGTTAAATTGTCTGGAAACACTTTGATCCTTTTGGGACTTGCATTTAAGCTTTTTTAGTGGGCCCCAAGCAGCATTTAGTCTAGGGTTAATTTTCCCTACTCCTGTGCTAAGATCCTTGTTAGTACCCTCACCAGGGTCATGTGAAGTATGAGTTTCCCACTCTGGCTGATGAGAACAGGTAACTCTCCCCTGCTTTGTGTGAGCGCAGGCACACAGGATAGATAATAGTCCTTTGTCAGATGTACATTTTGTAAATATCCTCTCCAAGTCTGTGGCTTGTCTTCTCATTCTCTCGACATTGTCTTTCACAGAGTGGAAGGTTTTATTTTTAATGAAGTCCAGCTTATCAATTATTTCTTTCATGGATCATGATTTCCGAGTTGTATCCAAAAAGTCATCACCATACCCAAGGTCATCTGGGTTTTCTCCCTATGTTACCTGCTAGGAGTTTTATACTTTTGCGTTTTATGTTTAAATCTACGATCCATTTTGAGTTCATCTTTGTGAAGAGTGTGAGGTCTGAGTCTAGATTTGTTTTTTTTTCATATGGCTGTCCAGCTGTGCCAGCACCAGATATTAAGAAGACTGTCTTTGCTCCATTGCATTGCTTTTGGTACTTGGTCAAAGATCAGCTGACTATGTTTATGTGGGTTTACTCCTGGGATCTCAGTTCGATTCCATTGATCTATTTGTCTGTTCTTTTGCTAGTACTGCACTGTGCTGATTATTGTAGCTTTTCATTGTCTTTTTAAAAAATACATTTTTTACTTTGGTAAAATAAAAATAATGGCAATCCCCTCTGTTGCTAGTTGCTGAGAGTTTTATCATGAATGGGGGCTGGATTCTGTCAAATGCTTTTTCTGCATCTATTGATATGATCATGTGATTTCATCTTCTTTGGTCTGTTGATGTGATGAATTACATTAATTTTCAAATGTTGAACAGTTTTGCACACTTGGAATAAATCCCACTTGGTTATGGTGTATAATTCTCTTTATACTTTGTTGAATTACTTATATTTTTTTGAGAATTTTCCCATCTATGTTCATGAGACATATTGGTCTGTAGTTTTCTTTTCTTGTAATGTCTTTGTCTGGTTTGGGTATTAGGGTAGTCCTGGGCTCGTAAAATGAGTTAGGAATTATTCACTCTGTTTCTTTTTTTTTTTTTTTTTAAGATTGGCATCTGAGCTAACATCTGTTGGCAATCTCTTTTTCTTCTTCTTCTTTTTCTTCTCCCCAAAGCCCCCCAGTACATAGCTGTGTATTCTAGCTGTAGGTCCTTCTGGTTCTGCTATGTGGGATGCTGCCTCAGCATGGCCTGATGAGCAGTGCAACATCTGTGCCCAGGATCCCAACCGTGGAAGCCCTGAGCCGGGAAAGCAGAGCACCCAAACTTAACCACTTGGCCTGGGGCAGGCCCCCGACTCCGCTTCTATCTTCTGGAAGAGACCATAGAGAATTGGCATCACCTCTTCCTTACATGTTTGGTAGAATTCACCTGTGAACCCACCTGGGCTTGGTGCTTTCTGTTTTTAAGTCTGTTCATTATTGATTAATTTCTTTAACAGATAGAGGCCTACTCAGATAGTCTATTTCTTCTCCTGAGTTTCGACAGATCGTGTCTTTCAAGGAACTGGTCCATTTCATCTAGGTTATTAACTCAATCTTTTAAAAAATATGATTAAAAAAGAAACCACATTTAATCCGCTATTTTATACGCTTCCAGTCGGAAGACTCTTGTGACTATGGATTGTTCCCACCTAGTTTTCTCCTTCTCCTGTGTCCCCCGCGTGGTTTTCTCTTCCCTGGCTAAGTTCTCACAAGCTGCTGGAATCGGCAGTGGAACGGAATCTGGCCCGGGCAATTAACTCAGGGCTTTGAAAAAACCCAGAGCCGGAACGATCCGGTATGAAAGGAATACAGGAACCCTTGCAGACTGTACCCGGGTGAGGACTCTTTTCTGCCGCCAGGTGGCGCGCCGCCACGTGCGAGAAAAGGGAGGGTCGCGTCTCGGTCCCTCTCACCTTGCAGGACCGTTTTCTGGGTCCGCAATCCCATGAAGTCCAAAGAGACTCCTCGGAACTCCCGGACAGGTGATCGTGCTGGTCCCCGCCCATCGGGAGGTCACTGCGAAAGGGGGGAATGGTTTGCGACAGGGTTCCTCCCCACAGGGTGAGTCAAAGGGAAATCGAGATACCCCAGCTTAGGAGCCCTGGGCCAAGCACACTGTGCGGCAGCCAGGAACACGCTGCAGCCTCCTCGTCTGCAGACCCCGCCCCAGGCTGGGGTGGAGGGCGGTGGATTCCCCCCCAACCTCCGCCCCTGCCGGGCTCGGGGAGGGGTCCTGCGGAGACTCCACCAGGCTGTGAGGGGGTGCGGGGCGCCGGGCACCGACCGCGCCACAGTCCAGGCCCTGAATGAACTCGGTCCCCACGAGTCCAGGAAAGAGGTGCTCCCACGCCCAAAAGGAGGCCCCATGGCTCCCTGAGCACCCGGGGCCTTAAGATTCACTGGCAAATATTGTCACGGTGACTTTGAAATACTTTGATTTCCTCAATTTCTCAACTTGAATTATTATTCAAATTTGTTATTAACTGAAGTCTTTAAAAAAAACTTTTAAAAACATTTTATTTTTGAGACAATTATAGACTCACAGAAAGTTGCAAAATAGTGGTCCCATACCCTCCCCCAGCCTCCCACAATGGTGACAGCTTACAAAGTATCAAAACCAGGTATCGATGTCGTTTTTAGAAGCAGCTTTATTGAGATACAATTCACCTGTATCGAGAGTACCGCTCCAAGGTTTTTAGTGCATTCACAGAGGGAGACGTCTCTTTAAAACAAGGTTATAGTGGAGACTAAGCTGAGCCTCGACGGTGGTACTAATTACTTTGCTCGGGGTTTCATTCTGTTCGCAGTCTTTCTCCTCAGATGGTGTCTCGAGGTGTCCAGTGGCACCCTCGGCACAGCTGCACGTGACCACGGATCATATTGCCCTGGGTGGACAGAGGAGTGCCTCTTCCTCCAGGGACCCTTTGCCGTGTGCTTTGCATCCACCGTGTTTTGAGATTTACACATACCATCTGAAAGAACTTTTAATAAGTTAAATAATTTAATTCACAGTTCCGTGAGATTTGCATGTTTTAATCTCATTTATAACATTGCATGAGCACTAAGGTCTTGATTTCCATGTAATTCTAAATAGTTATGACTTATGTCAACTGAAATTAAGAGTCCAGGTGATCTGAGTGAAGTTTATTCAATAATCACTGTGAGGAGTTCAAACCCCCGAAAAACGGTTCGACAGTGTTCTGATGGAACTGCTCTGAGGTGTGCGAGTTTAAGTGCAGCTTATATCTCCTTCACACAACAGTGGATGAGCAGGGAAGAGGAAAAAAACCCCTACAACTAGATTTCATATATGTCAAAAAAAGGATAGGGTACATCTGTTTTTTCCTCTAGATTATACATTAAAGATAACACAAACAAGAATTTCTTGGTTATAGATCAAACAAGTTCAGGGATGCTGACGTTATCTATGTGTGGAGGGAGGCAAGGACCAGGGTCATTATTTATTCCTTCAGTCTCCAAGAAATGCAGCTGTGGATGTAGGCGCTAGGTGCCCTTTATCTTTCCCCGTTGCCGATTTCTCCG